AAAAATAACTTTGATGTCACTCGGACTGCATTATCATTTACCTTGTTGATGAATAGACTCAATATATTGTTCCTGTAATGTAGCTATCAGAAGCAATACCATTGTTCAATTAACAACACTAATAGACTCATTCCATGACTCATCCAGTGATCATGATCATATTCAGGAATGGGAAAGGTATTAGAGAGGATCAGTAGGCGCAAGGCATAAACAGTGCTTCAAACAGCTTAACACATGTTTTCCTATTTGAAGTAACTGGATTTTTATAAGGGCCAAGGGTGATGCTTCTGGCCATCTATAAGAATCCAGATTCTTGGCACTTTTTCCTAATCTATTTTTATTTCTAATTTTTTACCTTGCATCTTGGACTTGAGGATCGGGATGGGGTAGGGGTATAGAAAGATTTTATTTATTTCTTTTTTGAGACGAGTCTCACTATGTTGCGCGAGCTAGAGCTGCCGTGCAATCAGCACTAAGCTCACAGCACCTCAAAATCTCTTGGGCTCAGCCATCCTACTGCCTCACGCTCCCAAGTAGCTTAGGGACTACCAGCATGTGCCACCATGCCTGGCTAATTTTTTGTATATATATTTTTAGTTGGTCAATTAATTTCTTTTTATTTTTAGTAGAGACGGGGTCTCGCTCAGGCTGGTTTCGAACTCGTGACCTCGAGCAATCTGCCCGCCTTGGCCTCCCAGTGCTAGGATTACAGGCGTGAGCCACCACGCCTGGCCTTTTGGGGTTTTTTTTGAGACAGGATCTTGCTCTGTCATCTGGGCTAGAGTGCTGTGGCATCACCCTAGCTCACAACCACCTCAAACTCCTGGGCTCAAGTGAGTCTCCTGCATCAGCCTCCCAAGTAGCTGGGACTACAGGAGCGCCACCATGCCTGGCTAATTTTTCTATTTTTAGTAGAGACAGGGTCTTGCTCAGGCTGGTCTTATCCTCCCATCTCCCACCTTGGCCTCCCAGAGGGCTAGGATTACAGGCATGAGCCATTGCACTCAGCCTGTTTGTTTGCTTTGAGTCAAGGTCTTGCTCTGTCACCCCAGCTAGAATGTATGGTGTCATCATAGCTTGCTGCAACCTCAAACTCTTGGGCTCAAATGATCCTTCTGCCTCAGCTAGCCAAGTAGCTGGGACTACAGGCACATGCCAGCATGCCTGGCTAATTTTTGTTTTTTGGTAGAGGTGGGAGTCTCACTATGTTGTTTAGACTGGTCTCAAACTCCTGGCCTCAAGCAATCCTCCTGCCTTGGCCTCCCAAAGCACTAGGATGAGAGGTATGAGCCACCGAGCCCAGCCAGGGTATAAAGTTTGAATGAGTATCCCAACATTTTTGCAAGGAAGTGGTGTATCACTGCTATAAAATGAGCTTGCTTTCTTTCTTTCTTTCTTTCTTTCTTTCTTTCTTTCTTTTCTTTTCTTTCTTTCTTTCTTTCTTTCTTTCCTTTCCTTCTCCCTTCTTCCTTCATTCCTTCTTCTTCTTCCTTCTTCCTTCCTTCCGTTCCTTCCTTCCTGTCCTTCCCTCCTCTCCTCCCTCCCTCCTTTCCTCCTCCTTCTTTCTTTCTTTCTTTCTTTCTTCTTTTCTTTTTCTTTCTTCTTTTCTTTCTTTCTTCTTCTTTTTTTTCTTTTCTTTTCTTTCTTTTTTTTTTGAGACATTTGGTCTTCACCTCTGTTGCCCAGGCTAGCTCACAGCAACCTCAAACTCCTGGCCTCAAGCAATCCTTCTGCCTCAGCCTCCCGAGTGGCTGAGACTACAGGCATGCGCCACAATGCCTGGCTAATTTTTTCTATATATTTTTAGTGGCTAATTAATTTCTTTCTATTTTTAGTAGAGATGGGGGTCTCACTCTTGCTCAGGCTGGTTTCGAACTCCTGACCTTGAGCGATCCTCCTGCCTTGGCCTCCCAGAGTCCTAGGATTTTAGGCGTGAGCCACTCTGCCTGGCCAAAATGAGTTTCTCGATGGTTCAATCCATAAAGAAAGAAAGGCACAGTGAGTGTTAAGAAATTCTACTAAGGATATTGGGATATTGGGGTAGCCTAAAACATGAGCAATGAACTAGGTCACCGAAGGACTCTTAACAGCTTGAGTAGAATCAGAGGTGACAGGTAGAGATGAATCCTCTAAGTGGACGGATGGTAGAAAATTCTCACCAGTGTCAATTAAGAAGTTCAGTTCCCAATCCTCTGGTGTCAGTTTAATAGTAGGATCTGGGGTGGAAGTGGGAGATCCCCGACCCCATCAGTGGATGGGGTACAGTCCAACAGAAGGGGGAAAATGGATCTTCTGTGGGTCCCGGGGTCTAGGGAGAGTGTTATATAAGCTTTCCTTTCTCTTGCGCGCCGGGCGATTGTTTTTCTGATAGCTGGCTCTTCACAGTATCTGCAGATGTCTGGAGGCAAACAGGGAAGACTCCTTGGCTGGCTGGAAAGAGGAGTGGGTTTTGAGTTTCCTCTGGCGTCCTGCCTTTGTTTTTGTAACTACTAAGTTTGCAACGTAAATACAGTGCAGTTCATTTTAATCCTTTTTCCCTGCAAGCTGTTTTCAAAGAATTGCAGAACTGCTTCTAGAATGACGCTGAGAGACGGACCTGTCCAGCCCATGACACTATATTGGGTTTGCCTCTTTATATCAAGGAGAGGATACTCTACTAAGGCAGCAATGAAAAGATTTCTATGTTCTAGGGCTTCAAGGTTAAGGAAAATCTTAGGATGTTTCCCTTCCTTTTCAGTGCAGGATCTAACCTTACACCAGTTCCACTTTAGGGAGAAAAACCTCTGCTATTGCCCCTGTAAGACCCCAAATATCTACCTCTAGATGATCCATTTCTTGGTCACTGGTAGGAGTCCCTGGGAGAAATTGTAGCCACTGGTTCCCTCTGTGGTCTGAACAGGTGGGGGGGGCTGGCTCCCCGACCAGGCCATTTGACCATCTGATAAATACAGCATGAAGGAGACCACACCTCAATAGCCAGTCAAGATTTCTATAAATGGGGCTACAAGCAGCCTAATCATTCCAACTCCTCTCTAAACTGGGTAGGATCTTCTCAAAGTTGGGGGCAAAAGGGCTTTATAATTTAAAAAAAAAATCTGCTGCTGTCCATTCTCCATGGTGGGGGGTCCAGGATACTCGCAGGGACCCCAGGATGGCAGGTCTGGAGCTCACAGGATTGGACTACAGAGCTCCCGGAAGTAGGAGGTGTCGACCTAAAAGGAAGACACTGAGCAGAAATTAACACGGTTTATTTGGGCCAAGGTTGTGGACCGCAGCCCGGGACACACTTCCAACTTGCCTTGGGGGGTGTTCCGGAGACCAAAGGAGAGACTCAATTTTTAAAGAAATATGGACAAATCAGGACAGGGAGAGATCACCAAAGTTGTTCATCAGAAGTCCTCATTGGTTTGCAGAAATAACAGCGGCCAGTGATTGGCTACGTGTTGTTGCTACTTGGCATCAGTTAGTCTAGAACCCACATAACACCTGGCTTTAAAAGGTAATTATTTAGCTCAAGAGGGAGTGACCGGTCACTGCTGTTACATTTTAAATGCCTCTCTGGGCCTGATACTTTAAAAGGGCTCTCCCATTTCTCAGATAAAAAGATTTTTTTTCTTTGTTCTTTTCCCCTTTTGATCAAAAATCTTTCTTCTTGAAAGCAGTGATGATCAAAATCTGAGTGTCAAGGTGTCCCCCTGTTGCCGGGAAGGGTCACTCCAGAATAGTCCTGTCCCACTTTGGGGGGAAAGAGGAGACATCTCAGTGAGGAAATTCCAGAAGCATCCAAAAGCCACACTGGGATGGTATTGCGGTGTGGCAAAAGTGAGACCCCGATCAAGTCATTGGTTTATACAGCTGCTGTCGCTAGTGGCATCGTCTCCAGTCTTTACCCTATTCTCAAAAAACCCCATTGGGAAGCAGCCATATGTGACAAGCGACGTCTGGAGGTCAGGTCAGCCCAAGCTGGTCTTGAACTCCCAGCCTCAAGTGATCCTCTGGCCTTAGCCTCCCAAAGTGCTGGGAGATAAATGGTCTCCAGAAGAGACCATTTAAGTAACAGAAGCCACCTTCTTCTGTTAAATAAGCCATGCTCCCTCGGACTCAGAGTCTTTTTTTTTTTTTTTTTGAGACAGAGTCTCACTTTGTTGTCCAGGCTAGAGTGCCGTGGCGTCAGCCTAGCTCACAGCAACCTCAAACTCCTGGGCTCGAGTGATCCTTCTGCCTCAGCCTCCCGAGTAGCTGGGACTACAGGCATGCGCCACCATGCCTGGCTAATTTTTTTTTTATGTATATATCAGTTGTCCAATTAATTTCTTTCTATTTATAGTAGAGACGGGGTCTTGCTCTTGCTCAGGCTGGTTTTGAACTCCTGACCTTGAGCAATCCGCCCGCCTCGGCCTCCCAAGAGCTAGGATTACAGGCGTGAGCCACAGCGCCCGGCCTAAGACTCAGAGTCTTGCATATGCTGTTCCCTCTGCCTGCAGCTCTTTTCCATCCCACTCCCATTTCACCTCTTTACACCTTCTAGGCCCAGCTCCTATGTCGCTCATCACTTCCTCTAGGAAGCCACCTGAGCTTCTCTCCCTAGACTAGGTCAGACAGACCCCGTTACACCTTCATAAAGCTCCTGTACTTCATGGCTGTAATCATAGTGCCAAGAAAGTTCTATCTAAACTACCAATTATGATCAGCAGAAGTATTTATGAGAATGTTTTATTACTGTCTCCCTCACTGGACCGTGAGCTCTATGAGAGCAGGGACTGGCTGTTGTAGCCCCAGCACCCAGCACGGGCCATATCCCCTAAGACTGTGTGTTCAATTGATGAGATCCAAATAAATACAGAACCACGGTGAAAGATCTGGGGGCCTTGACTTCCCAATGACAGCTTCACCTTCATTTAGGCCAGGCATGGAGGTCTTGGGACCTTCAGTCCCAGAGAAAGCACCAACCAATCCACCCCCAGCTTAGATGAGGAGAGAAGAGGAAGCGACCACAGGAGTAAATGTTTAGAGTTTTAATGAGAGCTCCTCCCCACTTCTCCATCCTGCAGGTTCAGAGCTCAGCTTCAGGTTGGGAGGGGGTTCCGGGGGTGGCACAAGGCTGGGAGAGGAGAGTGAATATAGAGGTGGCTGAGGAACAACTGGGACCACAGGAGGGAGCAGGTGAGGAGCAGAGAGGGGCTGCCAACCGCAGGCCCTGAGCCGAGTCAGAAACCGCAGTCCTTTCAGCACCCAGGAGCCAAGACAGTGAAACTGGAGCGTGTCCTTCTTGTCTGCAAACTGGTGTTGGCTTGTGGCCAGAGCACCAGGGCGGGGTGGAATTGGGCCCGAGGTGCCTTGAAGGGTGTCACTTTAGGTCTGGGAGTCAGGAGGGGGTGCCACCTTGGCTTAAAGAATTAAGAGGAAGCATCATCTTGGCCTGGAAGGTCTGGAGGAGGACCCCCTTGGGTCAGGATGGGGCATCCTTTTGCGCCCGAGGAAGGACACTATAGGGAGTCCACGGAGCCCATGATCAGACAGGCAGTGTGAGCAGGATGGGACAAGCAAAAGGAGCAAAACCTACCCTAAGGGTCCAGCTGACTCAGGAAACAAGACCAGGCTGAGAGCGGGAGCTAAGCCCAAGGAGGAGGACTTAGGAGGAGGAGAGCAAAAACTAGAACCGGTGAACCAGAAAAAGGACCCTGCCCAGGGGGGATAATTCTGGAAGTGGAGCTAGGACCAGAGGTGTAGGCAAGGGAGTGCAGGAAGATGACAAGGAATCTGTGCCAGATCCTGCAGGTCCCGTGGGGAAAACCAGGACAAGCCCTGTGAGCAGACACCAAACTCAGAAAGGCAGAGCGCGAGGGAAGGTGCGCAGAGAGCCCAGGGCGGAAACAGACAGAGCAACTACTGGCCAGAGGCTGGAGCCGCACGTCAGGAGCAGGCTCAGAACCAGGGGGTCATAGCCAGGCCCCAGTGCCACGTTCAGGGTCAGGACCACCTGGAGGAACCACATCTAAAGGTAGTAGAGAGCTGGTCTCCATGGCAGAGGATGAACTATACCCAACACACAGTATTATCCAGGGAGGTGGAGTTAGCTCCATGGGTGGACAGCAAGATAAAGGCTGGGGGTGAAACAGCCAGGTCTCAGCGGCGGCAAGACCTACTCCCAAGTGGCAGAGTCAAATGGGGGAGTAGAGTCATCGCTAGGCCCGCGGCCCCGGGTCTTGCTCGGCCTCGGTCCCCGGCACGCCGCGGATGTCCGGCAGCAGGCGGCAGCCAGCCACGATGTCCAGGCGCTCGGCCAGCGCGCAGAGGTCCCCTCGAGCCAGGCGCACACTATGAGCCGCCGCCAACCCCGCGGCCTGGGCGGCAGCCAGCCTGCTAGCCAGGGCAGCCACATCGCGGCCCGCACGCCGGTACACGCCGCTCACGGCCGCCGCCACGTCGTGGTCCAGCCTTGCCTGGCTCTCGGCCAGCCGGAGCTGCAGCAGCGAGCGCGCAGGGGTGGGTGCCGGGGCCTCCTCCGCGGCCCAGGCCTCCCCCGCCGACTCCCGCTGCACCACGAGCGGAGGCAGGTCCCTCGGCGCCGCAGTCGGCTCCGGGTCCGGGTCCGAGTCTGTTTCTGCGGCCTCCCCAGCCACCCGCAGCCCTGTGGGGCGGCCGCGCGTCGGGCCCGAAGGCCCCAGGTACAGCTCCTCCTCCTCCGACGAGGACGCGGAGAGCTCCGAATCCGTCTCGGCCGCCTCCCCAGGCACCATCGTCCCTGGCCTCCGTGGCGGCCTCCGCCGACGACCCTGGGACGCCATGGAGCCGAGCTAGGAAAGAAGAGGGGCGAAGGAACAGCATGAGAGCCGGGCGCCTGCGGTGGCCAAAAGGCGCAAGGCCGGGATTCCCCTCCTGCGACTCTCTTAGCGCTTTAGGGCCAACTGCTTCCGCCATCTGGGCCTCAGTTTCCTCTTCTGTAAACTGGGTGATGACAGGGGCGCTACCAGACGCCAGGCTCTTCAGTGTCCAGATGGGGAAACTGAGGACCAGCTCGATGAAGTCTGTGGGGCCTGAGTTCCCAAAGTCCCAGTTATTTACGAATTTGCCTCCCAGCAGAGGCCACACCCTCCACACGGCCCAACAGGCCTGTCCCAGACCCGGAAGCACGCGGGCTCGGGAGCTGCTCAGGGACCAAGTGCCAGAGCCATAGAAAGGGTGACAGTCCGGCTGGACTCGGGAGGGTGTGCTAATTAACAGGGCGTCGGGGGTCGTTGCCGAAAACCGTACCGGGTCACCGAAGCTCCGAGCCCGCGGGATCCGCTACCCAGGCGAAGCGCAGCGTTTTACCGTGGGAGGTGGAGGGCTGCGGCCCCAACCAATAGGGGAGCGGCTTGGGCGGGCGATGGCGGCCAAGTCACGTGGAGTCGCTCGGCTACCAACCGGGAAGCAAGTTCTCGGAACCAGCTTTGAGGGCGTGTGCGCAGCAGAGTCACGTGAATGGAGGTACAGCCAATAGAAACTAGGTAGGGCTGGCTCTTCCGGGTTGTGCTGCGAGGAAAGTGTGTAGTGTACAAACAGGGGTTTAAAGAACCGAGTATGTCACGTGTAGCCAGTAGTTAGGCCAATGGGAATGCTCGAGGACCCGGAAACAGGGAAGGAACAGAAGTGAGAGCGGAAGATGCTGTCACGTTGGCCAATGAAAGGCGGAGTAGGCGCTCCCTTTAATCTCCCAGGCTCACGCGCGCACCGCGTGAGTCCGGAGAGGGAAGGCGGGGCTAGTCTCAAACACCAATGGAAGCAGGAGTAGGCAGGTTCCTGCCCAGACGCAGGAGGCGGTGCTTGCCCAGCCTGGCCAATGAGAGTTGTAAGCGGTGGGCGGTCTTTAGGAGAGCTAGGCTGGCGCATGGCGGATGTTGTGCTGTTCGAGTTCCTGCACGCGGAGATGGTGGCAGAGCTGGGGGCTCGCGACACCGACCCCGGCCCTGGGGTGAGCGCCGGGCCCCGCGGGGAGGAGGCAGGGACCGCTACAGGATGGCCTCAGGGAGCGCAGAGGGCGCGTCAGCCGCCCGAGTTCGAACCCCGGCCCCGCCCCTTCCTCGCTGGGCGACCTCTGGCGCTGGTTTCTTCCTCTGTAAAGGGGGTTCGCGGCAGTGCTGGCCTCACGGGTTGTAGCATTGAGCGAGGTGACTCAGGGTAAAGCCTTTGTCTCAGGGCCTGAGTAAGCGGTTAGTAATTATAATCTATTATTGGACATGTACTGAAGACTCGCCTCTGCCACTCGCTAGGTGTACGACCCAATTACTTAATCTTTGTGTGCCTCAGTTTCCTCCTTTGTTAAATGGGCATCATAACAGTACTTAAGTCTCAGAGTGGAACATTTATTCATTCGACAATTACTGAGCGCCGGTTGTATTCCAGGCACTGTTCTAAGACAGACAAAATCCCTGTCCTAAAGCTTACATTTTAGGGGAGTCAGACAGAAAATAAGTTGAAATATGCCGTCACCTAGTGCGAAGTTCTATAAAGAAAACCAGTAGAGGCCAGGCGCGGTGGCTCAGGCTTGTAATCCTAGCACGCTGGGAGGCAGAGGCGGGCGGATTGCTCGAGGTCAGGAGTTCGAAACCAGCCTGAGCAAGAGTGAGACCCCATCTGTACTAAAAATAAAAAGAAATTAATTGGTCAACTAAAAATATATAGAAAAAGTTAGCCAGGCATGGTGGCGCATGCCTGTAGTCCCAGCTACTCAGGAGGCTGAGGCAGGAGGGTTGTTTGAGCCCAGAAGTTTGAGGTTGCTGTGAGCTAGGCTGACGCCATGGCACTCTAGCCCAGGCAACAGAATGAGACTCTGTCTCAAAAAAACCCCAAAAAAACCCCCAGTAGAGTCATGGAAAGAAGGGGGGGTGGATGATGGGGAAAAGCCTTTCTGACAAAGAGAAGGGAGGGAATAAGTCCGTGGGTAAATGGCATGAAGGCCTCCAGGAGAGGGAGCAGTAAATTCAAATCCCTTAAGTGAGAGTATGTTTGGTAATTTGGAAGTTGGTCCTTATGAAGAATAAATGAATTAAAACTTTAAAGCACTTAGTGCAATGTCTAACACATAGCCCTCAAAAACATTGGAACTCTTGTTATAAAATCTTTTACCAAGAAGAAAGGAGGGGGAGCTGCTTAACAGTGGGGGCTGTGGTCACTTTTTTCCATCATTATTATTATTATTGTTATTGTCATCATCTATATGTAAGACATTTTGATTGGCTCAGATTTCCTTCCCAGATTAGGAGCCTTAGGAAGGGTGTTACTCGTTTTCATCTCGATGTACAGATGCTTCTAGACTTATGATAGGGTGATGTAAGTTGTAGCATTGTATGTCAAAAATGCATTTAATAATAATGCACCAATGCACTTAACCTACTCAACATCATAGCTTAGCCTACCTTAAACCTGTTCAGAACACTTACATTAGCCTACAGTTGACCAAAACCATCCAACAAAGCCTATTTTATAATAAAGTGTTGAATATCCCATGTCATTTATTGACTGCTGTACTGAAAGTGAAAAACAGAATGGTTATGTGGGTACTCAAAGTACAGTTTCTAGTAAGTTAAACCATTGTGAGTCAGGGACTGTCTGTGGTTTCTTCTGTGTTCATTCATCCTTTCATTCAACAAACTTTTATACTAGGACTTGCAAAGAGCCTCCTTTAGGCTTTGGGGATTACTCAGTGAACCAGACAAAACTCCTTGCCCTCCTCTCAGTGCCTCATCCTTCCTGGCCCTCAGACCAGAAATCCAGGAGTCCCGACATCTGCCTCTTCTCCCTCACCTCCAGCCCTCCACCAGGCCCTGACTGTTTTGCTGTCTAAACATGTGTCCCATCTGTCCCCTCCCCTGCCCTTGTCCCGGTTCCGTCCTCTTTGCCCCTGTGAAATGAGCCTGCTCTCTCTGCTCCTGGCTCGGCTCACTTCACTTGTCAAGTCTTCACTGAGCTAGCACCTTTTAGTCCTTCAGATATTGGCTCAAATTCCCCTTCCTCAGGGGAGCCCTCCCTGACCCCCAGTCGAGTGTGGGTCTCCCTTAGAAGTTCTCCCAGCCCCTTCCCCACTTTGTCCTTGGTAGCCTTCATCACACTCAGTAAGGATATAGCGTATGATCTTTTTTTTCTTTTTGAGACAGAGTCTCACTCTGTTGCCCGGGCTAGAGTGCTGTGGCGTCAGCCTAGCTCACAGCAACCTCAAACTCCTGGGCTCAAATGATCCTTCTGCCTCAGCCTCCCGAGTAGCTGGGACTACAGGCATGCGCCACCATGCTTGCCTAATTTTTTCTACATATTTTTAGTTGTCCTGCTAATTTCTTTCTATTTTTAGTAGACATGGGGTCTCACTCTTGCTCAGGCTGGTTTCAAACTCCTGAACTTGAGCGATCCTCCTGCCTCGGCCTCCCAGAGTGCTAGGATTACAGGCGTGAGCCACCGCGCCCGGCCCCTGTATGATCTTTTGATTCATACCCGTCTCCTCTGCCAGACTGTGTGCTGTGTGTGGTTGGCCCCAGGTCTGTGTTGATCACCACCTGTATACTCTAGCACGTAGTGGGTCCTCAGCGTGGGTTTGTCAATGAAGTTAATGCAGATCCTATGCTGTGGAGGTCAGGGGTGGGGGTGGGGATGGGATTCATCTAGTACCATAACCAGTAATAGCTGCTGCCACGTATGAGCGTTTCCTGTGTGTTCCCATGGCTTCTCACTCTTGATTTCATTTGATCCTCCTAACCACCCAAGGAGGTCGGCGCGATCCTCCCCACTTTGTAGACGAGGCTTTGATGCAGGGAGTTCCTTGCTCTCAAGTGGCAGAGCGAGGGTTGTAACCAGGCCTCCCAGCTCCAAAGCCTGTGCCGTAAACTCACGCTTGCATTCCCCAGCGTGTTCCCTGGCACTCTCCAGAAGGATTTTAATGGGTTTCTGTGGTCAAGTGAGTGTGGGAAACACTGGCTCATTCAGCCTTGCTCGCCCCGGGACTTGCAGAGCACACAGACATGGGCGGCGGTCCCACACCAGAGATCCTGATGGAACTCAGCTGGGCCTTTCTGTGTCATTGTGGCTTGAGAGAGGAAGGGCCTTTCCTGAGGCCACAGGGCGACAATCAGAACTCAGGTGTCTGACTCCAGACCCTGTTGGTAGCACCGGTGGGTCTGCCCCTCCCACCAGCTCCAGAGTTCCTGGAGAACAGGGATGGTGGCTCCTTCATCTCTGTGCCCAGAGCACAGATAGCACGTGGGGCTTTTGTGATCTCCGGCCCCTGCCTGGTACTGCGGTTACTTACGGTGGCTGAGTGGCTGCTGCTGGGCTGTCACAGGTGGTTCAGTGGAAGACTGGCCAGAGGGGCCACGAGGGCAAGGGCCTTTGTTCTCAAAGCAGGAAAAGCCTTTGGAGGAAGAGGCTGTGGTTTCTCTCCCTAGGAGCTTTGAAGATAAAGAGAGCCTTTGGGCAACAGCCTGAATTCCTCTGAGTGCTGTCATCACTGTGGCCACACTAGGCCCTGGAACGTGGCTGGAGAGCAGCCCTTCCGGGCCAGGCCGTCATCCTCCATGGCCCAGAGAGTGGGCGTGGGCAGCTCCTTGGAGGGGTCTGGGACAAGCGGAGCAGCTGTGCCTGTTCCTGGTAGAGAGGACACGCGCTCAGGGGCAGTGCTGTGCAGCCGAGGACAGCGGGAGCCATAGAAGGCTTTAAACTGAGTTGTGCGGTGGCTCACGCCTGTAATCCTAGCACTCTGGGAGGCCGAGGCGGGAGGATCACTTGAGCTCAGGAGTTCCAGACCAGCCTGAGCAAGAGCGAGACCCCGTCTCTACTAGAAATAGGAAAAATTAGCCGGACATGGTGGTGCGTGCCTATAGTCACAGCCACCTGGGAGGCTGAGGCAGGAGGATCGCTTAAGCCTGGGAGCTTGAGGTTGCTGTGAGCTAGGCTAACGCCACGGCACTCTAGCCCAGTGACAAAGGTAGATTTTGTCTTGAAAAAAAAAAAGAAAACAAGAAAAACAAGCAAACCAAAGCTCTGACACATCCTGAGAGGCTGGAGAAAATGGAGAACATTCTAGATGAAGAAAGAGGGACTTGGCCTAGGGGCCATGAGCTGGGCTCTTCCCGCCTGAGGTGCCTGCCTACTCCTGGGCACAGGCTCACCCTGTTTAACCCCCTGGGGCGGCAGGGGGTCCCAGAGAAGGAGCAGCCCTGGTTCCTCCCTTAAGAAAAGCACAGATCTAGGCCGGGCGCGGTGGCTCACGCCTGTAATCCTAGCACTCTGGGAGGCCGAGGCGGGCGGATTGCTCAAGGTCGGGAGTTCGAAACCAGCCTGAGCGAGACCCCGTCTCTACTAAAAAAATAGAAAGAAATTAATTGACCAACTAAAAGTATATATACAAAAAATTAGCCGGGCATGGTGGTGCATGCCTGTAGTCCCAGCTACTCGGGAGGCTGAGGCAGGAGGATTGCTTGAGCCCAGGAGTTTGAGGTTGCTGTGAGCTAGGCTGACGCCACGGCACTCACTCTAGCCTGGGCAACAAAAAGTGAGACTCTGTCTCAAAAAAAAAAAAAAAAAAATTAAAAAAAAAAAAAAAAAAAAAGATTAAAAAAAAAGAAAAGAAAAGCACAGAGAGAAGAGATGAGTTCTTGGTCTCAGGCTGGTCTCCAACTCCTCAGCTCAAGCCATCCTCCCGCCTCAGCCTCCCAGAGTGCTAGGATTATAGGCGCCTGGCGTGGTTTGCTTGTTTTTCATTCATCCTCCTTGGAGCTCCGTGGCCCTTTCAGTCTGAACATGTGAATCTTCTTTTAGCTCAGGACATTTTTCTCTTATTATCTCTTTGATTATTTCTTTCTATTAATACATTGTTCCTTTTGGCGCTCAGATGAATATGAGACTTTGTGGATCACTTCTATGCATCTTATAACTCTGCTCCAATTTTTTCTTTTACTTCATGTTTTTTCTCACCAACTCGAGAGGTGTTATCTATCTTACAGATTTGTCTATTATTCAGCTCCGTGTTAACAAGTGTTTATTTTGGCCACCGTGGTGTTCATTTCCAGGAACTTTCCTTTGTGTCTGATTGTTCCTTCCTATTTGGTGGATGCCATCAGTACCGACGCTGATAAGCCTTCTCGAGGGTTCCCTCTCTTCCTTGCATTATCTCGTTTCCTCCCAGTCGGTTGTTGTATAAACTCAGCAGAGGCGGCGGCGGGGTGAGCCCCAGACAGGCACTGACTCGGGGCTGGGCTGTCGCAGTCACATGAATGGGAGCGTTCCTACCTAGCCAGCCCTTGTGTTCTTAAAATGATAAACCCCTAATCTCTGAAGAGTTTTTGCAGGGACGTCTGTCTGTCTGTCTTTCGGAGAGGCAGGCGGTGATGGAGGCCTGTGGGCGCGTCTCCCTTCCTCCTTTCTGCCCTGTCACCTGCTCATCCTCTGTCCAGCCCTGCCCACTTCCTCTTCCTGTCCCTCCTGCCATTATTGCCCGTAGCCCAGCCACTCCCAGGCTTGTTGGTTCAGCAGATACCCAGTCTGCCCGGGCTACAGTGGGGCCAATAGTCACAACAGTTATGTATCGAGCTGCTGCCACGTGCCAGTCACGCCACCTCTGTGAGCAGGGACTGCCATGAGCCCTGTCGCACGTGTTCAGAAACTGAGGCACGGGCCAGTTAGATAACGGCCTGGATCAAGCATCTGATAGGTGGTGGAGCCAGGATCCACGCCCAGCAGTCTGAAGTTCATGGAAGGAAAACGTGATCTTGCCGGAAACGCTTCCAGAATTCCCTCCACGCCCCCGGCCCGGCTCACCCCTCTGGGGGTCGCTGTGCTGGCTGCCACCAGGGCTTGGAGCACTTCCCAGGCCTCTGCTCCTCCTCCCCCTTCAGACACAGCGCAGATGGGCTTCCTTGGGGACTGGGACGCGCCCCAGCCCTCCGGCACTGCCTTCCTCCCGCTTGGCAGTCAGCGAGACTGCAGCGAAGCCGCCCATCGCATCCTTAGTCCTTGCCAGCTCGGCGCCTAGAACGCCACGCCAGCAGGACAGGGACTGCCTGTGCCCCACAGTGGCAGGCATTCAGGCAACACGTGTCGCATTGGCCCTCCAGTTGGCTGCTCTTGCCTGCAGGGCCGAATGCACCCGCCAGCCCACCATGGGCTTGAGCTTCCTTCGTGGCGGGCTGTGCTTTTTGGTGCTGGCTTTGCCCTGCGCTGTGCTCCCTGGGTCCCCTTGCGCCCAGTGTCCCAGCCCTCCCACCAGATTGTCAGTTGGCATCGTCTGGGCACCTGTCACCCCCACCAGGTACGAGAGAGGAGCTCCTGGAGGACATCCAGGGAGTGTCTGTGGCATGAACAAGGGACAGTGGGGAGTGTCCTCAGGAGCAGGGACACAGATGCCCTCTGGCAGAGTGGACCCCAGGCCCTGCTTCCTGGAGCTGTCCCTGGGGAGGGAGGTGACTCAGGAGCAATAGCGCCACCCCGCCGGGGTGCTCCCGGGGCTGGGACACGTCTGCCCACAGAACACAGCCTGTCAGCCAAGAGCTTCGTTCCTCATCAGCCCAGGACTGTCTCCTCGTGTGGCAGACACAGGCTTGAGTGACAACGGTGACCAGGCTTCCTGAGCCCGGCTCGAGGTGCTTGGCTTGCACCGACCTGCCCCTGCCCTCACGAGGCTCCCAGGGAGTGGCTGCTGTTAATGTTTTCCTCCTTTTACACATGAGGAAACTGAGGCAGGGGCAATTAGCCAACCGCCTCAGGTGCCACACCTGGGCAGTGTTGGGGCAGATCTGGGCACAGGCAGTGTGCACTCAGGAAGCCACGGAGGGTGCTGCTATGAGGGACCCCTGGGCAGGGACCTCCCAGCCCTGCCACCATGGGGATGGTGGCTAACTCCCCCTCGCCCGGTCTCTTACGTCCCCGCACTCGAGTCGTTAGTCATCAGACCCTCCCCTGGGCCCTTCCTGTGTGGCCAGCCCTGCTTGCCTGAGGAAAGCAGCCGGTGACAGCAGTGTGGTCCAACGGGAAGCTGGGTCGTCACCTGGGCGGGCCGGGCCTGGTGAGGGGGTGGGCAGAGGAGGGGGCACCTGGTTTGGCATGTGGGCAGCTCTGCTTAGGACCCCCGACCCCAGCACCCCCGCCAGGCGGGACTCACCTCCACGGCAGGGAGCCTTTGGCGGCTTCTTAACCCTCTGAGCGGTTCCAGGTGTGAATGTCGCCTAATGGGCCGCTGAGGTTAAATAAGAGGGTTTACGGAAAGCACCTGGCACACGCTGCACAGCAGGTCCTCGAATCACGTCATTCTGTTAAAATGTCGATGAGAGAAACAAACCATTTCCTGGGGCTGCAGGTTCTCCCACGTCTGCACAGGTTTCCTCCGTGTGCTCGTCCCCTCCCGAGTCCCAGAGGTGTGCCGTTAGGTGACTCAATCTGTCATTGTGGGTGCACGTGTGTCCCGCGGTGGGACAGCACCTCGCCCAGGGCCGGCTGCCACCCGGCTCCCCGAGCTGCGGGGACAGGCTCTGGCCCCCAGCAACCCCGAATTGGAATAAGTGGGTAAATAGTTATCTTGTTTTCATTCATCTTTCCTAAATGCATGCATAGTGCACGTTGATGTCAATGTTTGATGTCCAGAAGTGGTTTGGTCTTTATTCAGAAGTTTGCTGAGGTTTTTGTGACCAGAAATACGGGCCTGGGAGCTTCCCTTTTGTTTATATCAATTAGCCTTTGGTCAAATTGGTTTCATTACCCGGCCTCTCACTTAAAGTGGCCGTGATGACATTAGGGAGGACTTACGCTGTGCTCGAAGGCTGAATCTCCACTTTGGTCGCCTCTGTTTGCAAAGCACCTCCCATGTGCCAGGCCCTGTGCTGGCTGCTGAGGGCCACGGTGAACTGGTCAGCCTGAGTCCCCACCCTCACAGGGCTGTGTCCTCAACTAGTGACAGCGCAGAGTGGCCAGGGCCAGGGAGCAGGACCCGACCTGGGAGGGATGCAAGGAAAGCTTCCAGGAGTCGGCAGTGGGAGCAAAGAGTAGAAAGGCCCAGAAGCCTGAGCCTTCCTGGCCATGGGTAGCCAGTGGGCAGGGGACAGGGCTGGCGAGGCCACATGAAGCCCGCTGAAGGGCTGGGACACCCTCTCCAGGGCAGGAGCTGAGTGGAAACTTCCCATCCGCCATGCAGATGGCTCCATTGTGCATGCAGCCCTGGAGGGAAGAAGACCAGGGTGGCCATTCCTAAGGGAAGGTGGTGGCCAGGGGACAGAGAAGAAGGGGTGGGAGGGGCTTGGGCCAGTGATTGCAGCTCCTGAGAGGAGCCAGCAGGAGGGTGAGCTTCCTCCCTCTCGGGGTTCCCTCTCCGCCACTTCCCTGCCCCCACTTCTGGGCTGGGGGGCCCCTCATGCCACCAGCCAATCTGGGCCTCCCCCTCCCCAGCTCACTGCAAGTCACCCAAGTAAAAGAATCCACAAAACTCCTCGCCTGCCACCTCGCCATCCACATGCAGGCACAGGGACAGATGCCAGGGGCGGCCTCCTGCCGTGCCCACCGTGCTGCCTCCCCCGTGGCCCTGGCCTGCCCTCCCCAAGCCCCCGTGTGTCTCTCTCTCTCTCCCAGGGACCTTGGCCAGTGGTATAAGGCACAATGGTCACAGCTGCCTTCCAAGCGCCCCTTCCTGAGGCTCAGCCCACACTCTCGCCACAGACCCTTGGGAAGGTCCCCTGGAGCCTCTTGGGTGGTCACAGTGCCCACCTCCTAGGGCGCTGGAAGGGTTCACACTGAAGGCGCCTGCAGTTTGCAGTGGGCGTTTTCAGGAGAGTGGGGGGGGAGCCTGGGGAGGAGCCCCACGTTCCTGGACCAAGGGGGAGCCAGCCCTGGGGTCGCCGGGCGTCCGAGCTGTGCCGAGGCGGGTGTGGGAGCAGGCGGGTTCCTGGAGGCCCCGGCCCCCCACCCCGGGGCCCCTCACCCCTGAACTGACAGGCGCAGGCAGATCTGTCTCAGAGTCCCCTTGCAGAGGCTCCCAGCTGAGCCTCTCTTCCTGGCCTTCTAGGGACAGAAGAGGAGCCTGTCGGTCCTGGAGGGCACAGGCTTCCGTGTGGGCCAGGCTCTGGGCGAGAGGTGAGACCAGCCCCCCATCCCCCAGCCTGTCCCCACCTCGGCTGGCAGGGGCGGGGGCGGTTTGCACTCCTTGGCCCGGTGTCCCCCCGCCCCAGCTCCATGCCCCAGCCTGGCCCACGTGTCTGCCCGCCCCCCAGGCTGCCCCGGGAGACCTTCAGGGAGGAGCTGGATGTCCTAAAGTTCCTGTGCAGAGACCTGTGGGTGGCCGTGTTCCAAAAGCAGATGGACGGCCTCTGCACCAACCACCAGGTGGGTGCCCCGCGCCCCTCCCGGTCCCTCGCCACCCCTGACTGGCGGCAGAGGTGAAACCAGGGAGGGCGGAGGAGGGGAGACCCCTGTTGCTGGGCGGCAGGAACCCAGGTGTTGCATCAGCAGCTTCGGCCCTTGTCGGGTTCTCTGTCCAATCCTCTAAGGGAAGCCAGGTGGCTGCAGTGGGACAGAGGGGCTACTGTCACCAGCATGGAGCCCCGTGTGGACAGAAGGCTCTTGGTGGTGGCAGTGCCCCACCTTGGCACGCGGCTGCTCTGTCTCCATCTGGCCCGAGGTCCTGTAGAGCCCGGCTGCTCCAGGGGCCAGGTCCCCAGGTCCCCAGGCTCTCACCGCAACCCTGGAGGGCAGGGACTGTTTCCCGGGAAGCCACCCAGCCAGAGGGCAGGACCCCGGGTGGGCACCAACCCCAAGTGGGGAAACCTCAGGGCCCTTCCCCAACTCTGAAGTAGGGGCGGCCACCGTGGTCTTGGGGAAGGAGTCCTCCCAGCCTCCACCCCGTGGGGCGGGCTGCTGGGTCCCCTCCCCCCTCCATAAATGTACAGGCCCTGCCCCCTCCCCACCCTCAGGGGACCTACATCCTGCAGGACAACAGCTTCCCTCTCCTCATCCCGATGGCCTTGGGCCTGCAGTACCTGGAGGATGCACCCAAGGTATGGGGTGGGGACACTTCCTTCATACTCCCTCCCCCTGGCTGCTGCCCCACCCCAGGCCTCTGCCCAGGCTCAGGCCCTGGGTGCTGGCCTCCCCTCTCCTCCCACCATGATCTGTGTCCCCTGCCCCAGTTCCTGGCCTTCACCTGCGGCCTCCTGCGAGGCACCCTCCGCACCCTGGGCTTCCAGAGCTTGGTCACCTCCTCCGTGGCAACCCTGCCCGCCTGTGAGTCACGGGGAGGGGCGGATTGTGCTCATCCTTGTGTGCTGGGGGCTCCGAGCTCTCCCTGCCCTGCGTGGGTGTGGGAGGCAGGCCCAGACTGTCGTGCCCCATTTTACGGACCGGGACTTGGGGGCCAGGGAGCTTATGTCACCCGCTCAGGCCACCCTGCTGGTGCAGGCCCTTCTGTAACCCCGGCTGCTTCCTTGGGGGCCATCCCCTCCAAGGAGAGAACACTCCAGAGACTTCTAACATGTCCTCCCAGCGCGGGAGCCGCAGCAGACAGAGGTCACCCTGGTTGATGCTGCTGTGGGGACCGGGACAGCCAGGCGGTGGCACTCCCTGCCTGCCTGGTGGGGTGTCCTGTCAGACAAGCTGGAGCCCCATTCCTGGGGACAGCCTGCCCCAGAGCCTGCAGCCAAACACCTCCCGCCCCCAGTCTTCTTCCCTCTGCGGGGTTCCCCAGGCCCACTTGGGGGACCTGGGGCCCCCGCGGGCGGGCTTCACCGTGCAGGCCACAGAGTCTACGCTGGCCCCTCCCTGGGCCCACACGCGTGGCCTCCGTGCCCCTAGTTACTCACACAGCCCTGGGACGCAGGCCACGCAGGCCAGGTGGGCGGGAACACCGCCCTTTAACTGGGAGGAAACTGAGGCCCAGCCCAGGCCGTCAGTGCAGGGTGGGATGCACATCTCGGAGCCGGCCGGGCGCCCTCTGCCTCTCGCCCGGCCCCAGCCTCACGCTGAAGCCGGCCCTTCTCTCGCAGGTAAGTTCCAGGTGGAGATCCGGAAATCCTGAGGGGCCCCTGCCAGCGCCCCACAGCTGCCCACAGCTGCCTGGCCTTCGCCCCCTGCCAGGAGGCAGCAGCCGGCTTGGCCCAGGCCCCGAGCCACTGTCTTTGGGGCTGGAGGTGGGGACACCAGGCTCTGGAGTCACACGTGCTCAATAAGTGGGTACCAAGGGTCGGGGGGGGGTTGTCACAGGAGACAATAAAGGTTCTGTGTGTGGAATCAAATGGGTCTCAGGAGTGACTGTCACAGGTGCTTCGGGGGAGGGAAGTCCCCCCTGCAGCCCCAGCAACCCTCAGACCCTCCTCCTCTGGGTCCCCTCCACTCCCAGCCCTGGCACGAGCCCTGGAACTTGTCACCTCCCTCCCTGCACACCTGGCAGTGGGAGGGTGGCCCCCGGTGGCAGTCTCAGCATTTCTGCTGCATCAACAAGTCTGGGGCTGTCCCCTGCCCAGCGGGGTACACAGAACCGAGCCTGGGCACGCAGAGCACAGGCAGGGGCGGGCTGGGGCTGCCAGGGCTGAGCACAGACGGGGGGACGGACACCCTCCCCTCTTCCCTCCACCCCCACATGCCACAGACATGCTTCCCGTGCCTGGCAAATGAGTCCTGCCCATCCCTTCTGCCCCCACTGTGCCACCACCTCCCCATGCTCTGTCCTCCCATCTGCATTTGTAGCATCTGGGCCTGTCGCACACCTGGACTTGTGCTTTACCACCACTGCCTGATGTGGGTAAGTACCCCGCTTCAGAGCGGTAAACCGAGGCAGGGGGCAAGACCTGCATGGGATGAGGACGGGTCCCCTTGGTGACAGCACTTCCAGCAGAGGGGCGTCTCCGCCTCTGTGGAGTCTGGGCCACACAGCCCGTCTGGCCCTGCCTTGGGCTGCTGAGCTCCTGTCCTGCCTGGCCCACTGCCCCTGCGCCCCCTGCCGTGCCCTGCAGCCACCTGGCCTCCACTGACCGACCTCCTTGCCCCTCGGACGGCCCTGGACCTACCTGAGGGGTCTAGTTGTTACCTTGGGACACACCTCCTCCTGGGGCCCTCTAGACCCCTCCCCCCCCCTCCAGGCGCGGGCGCTGCCCAGCGCGGAGCCTGGCACTCGGGAGCCCGGGCAGATGTTCCCCGAGCGAATGAAGTTTCTCAGTTGCACCGCACACTCGCCGCGGGAGCCGGGATTGGCGCGGAGGGTCACTGGGGACTCGGTCCCAGATCAGACACAGACGCCCCAGGCCCCAGGGGGGGGGGGGGGGGTAGGGGTTTGGGAGGATGGAAGGACCCTGAGACACAGAGCTGTCCCAGGTAGAAGGAAGCGGGCATGGCTCCAGCCACACGGGGGCAGTGTTTGGTCACTGGGCAGAAGCCCTAGAGGGGCATCCTGCGGGCCAGGTGGGTCCTTTTGTCCTGTGTCCCCTCATCCTGGATACTGTTCTGTGGTCGCCACCCCCATCCCTGCTCTCAGGGAAGTGACTGTGGACCCCACCATGCCGGCAGCACAGGGAGCCAGGGCTGGGGGGAGAGGGTGTCACAGCACCTCATGCCCCTCTGACCAGCCCCACCCGGCCGTCACCTCTATAGTGGCCTGTGCGAGGGGACGGGGGGCAGAGCCCCGGCGAGCCTGGGGCACCCACTGCTGCCAGCGTGCAAATCCCCGCTCTGCCTCCGTGTGCCCTGGGGCGAGGGACTTCCCATCTCTGGGCCTCGGTGTCCTCTAGAGCAGCACCGGGCAAGTGGGTCAGCGGCGCCTTGCCAAGTGCCAGGCCCGAGCTGAGTGGACTCCCACCGGTCCCTCCTGACTGCGAGAGGCAGACGCCAACGCCGGCCACCCAGCAATGAGGAAGCTGGGCTCAGAGAGGTGAAGTCACTTGCCCAAGGTAACACACCTGGGGAGCTGGCATCTGAGTCTTGGACTGTGTTCCTCGCTCGCAGGGACTCTGCTCCCTGTCCCAGTGTCCTTGCCACTCCCACCCTGGCCCGCGACAGAAGCACCCCAGCGGCCAGCCTCATAGACCCGGTGGCCGTGTCCCGGGAACCCCAGGTGGCACTGTGGGCCCATCGCCACCCCTCAGTCCTCGAGAGCAGAGAGCAGCAGGCAGGGCGGGCGGCCTGGGGAAGGGGCGGGGACAGGCGGGCAAACCGGTCGGGCGGGCGGGTGGCTCAGCCCGGGCCTCCCTCCGTTGGGACCTGCACTGACAGTCTGGTCTGGCGGAGCTGGCGCGGCAGCCTGGCGGGGCAGGGAGCTGGGGCCGAGAGGCCACCACCAGGTACCGGGGACCTGGGGCTGGGGGGCGGCGGGCAGGCCCCAACACTTACCACCCCAATTCCCTCTGCCCCTTGGACTCTCCATCCCCGCCCCCTAGAGCATCCTTCCCGTCCTGCTTCTGGCTCTTCTCCGTCTACACCCGGTAACCCCCATGTCCCTGAGCCTCTCCCCGCCCACTGCGATTTCATTGCTCCCCCAGAACTGCCCTTCCTACTCCCCTCATTCAGCTGCCCAGGTGTACCCAGCACTGAAATTTCAATCCCCCCATATTCCTGGCCGCGTCCCAGTTCACCTCACTGGTTCTGTGTCCCTTCGAGCCGCGCCAGCCTCCCACCCCCACAGTGCCCCTCCTCAGTGCCCCCTAGCGTCACTCGGCTGCCACTCTGGCTCCCCAGGTCCCAGGCCCACGTCGGCTCAGCACTCCCCAACATCCCGGCTGCCTGGAAACTCCCAAGGGCCCCCCACACCCAGCCACCCAACCCCAAATTAGCACCTGGCCACCCCTCCCCCACCTGGCCCCCTACTGTCCCCTGACGAGCTTCCCCCAGGCAGGCGACCCAGGAACATCTGGGACCAGGCCTAGCTAGGATGTGCTGGGGCAGGGCAGGGACCCAGCCTTGGCCCTGCTGCTGGTGCCCGAGGGGCTGGCTGCTGAGCCTGTCCCCTTCCTCCCACCACAGGAGCCGGTCCCCGCCACCCAGCCGCCCGGCCACCATGCACAAGCGCTACAATGTCCACTTCGCCAAGGGCGCCCAAAGCCCCACCGACCGCTACTTCTTGGACCCAGAGTTGGGGCAGCAAAAAGGTAAGGGTTCACTCAGGGGGGGCGGGCATGGCAGGCAGAGAGGCCTGGGAGGGGCCTGGTGGATGGAGGAACAGAACCACCGTCCCCAGAGGGAAAAGCCACCAGCTCTCCCCACGGTGGCGGCTGCACAGTGGGGCTGGGGGACCCCAGCCCGGGGTGGGACCACAGGTAGGAGCCAGGGCTGGAGACAGAAGCAGGGAGGCCCCCCTGGCCTGCCCCTTCCCCCAGGGTGGGAGCAGTCCCCCAGCCTGGAGGGCAGCAGTGTGGCAGAGTGAGGACAGGGACACCCAGTGCCGAGTGTGTCCGGACAAGGTGGGGGCTCAGCATCCGGGGGGGACTGTGGGTGCTCAGGGTGGGGAGGGGGCAGTTACCTCCCATTAGGGCTGATTTAGCCTCCTCAGGGCCGGGTGGTGCCCAGCCTCCCTGCCACCCTGGCCCGAGCTCAGGGACAGGGCTCCTTCCCTGTCCCTGGTGTATCCCCTCACCACGGCCACCAGCTGTCACTCCGGCCTCCCCTGGATCAACCAGGCCAGCTCCCAGTGGCTTCCTCCCTGCCCCAACCCCGCACTGGCGACCCCACCAGGGACCGACCTCAGGCGGCGTCCTCTGTCCAGCCCCAAGGGAGAGCACAGACCCCAGGGCCCCTCACGGCCCCCTCCTCGTGGTGTGACTTCTTTGGGGCCTCTGAGGTTCCCAAGAATGCTCCGGCCCAGGCCCCACCTGGCTCTTGCTGGTGTCTCCTGGGTCAGGGACCCAGTCAGCCCCCACTTCCTTCCTTCCAGGATGCTGTCATCAGTGGCGCCGTGACCCAGTGGCCCCACAAGTCCACGGGCCCTGCCGGCCTTCCCCCCGGGCACGCTGGCAGCAGGCTTACCACCACTGCCACCAGGGGGCACGTGGCAGCTGCCACCAGGGCCCCCAGTCCCCCGGCCTGCAGCACCGGCGGCAGCCCCAGCTGCCCCCTCCCAGCCCCCAGTGGCCGCAGCTCTGCGCCACTCACAGGGCCCAGAAGGGGCTGCCTGCTACCACCGCTGCCCCCAGGGGACCAGCCAGCGCCCCCCAGCCACCCGCCAGGCCTGCCACCTCACCTAGCGCGGCACCCGTCACGGCCAGCGGCGGCCCAGCCCTGCCCTCTGCAGCCGGCGCCCTCCTGGAGCCCAGCGAGCCCACTGACGCCCGGCCCCTGCCTGCCCCAGCGGCCTGCGGCTCCTTCACCTACAGCTCCGGTGCTCACCCAGCCCTCGCCGGCTCCGCCGCCCGCTTCCCGCCTGGGCCTCCCGCTCCCTGCCCGAGAGGCGCTCAGCCCGCCCCGCTCAGGCCGCTGCCTCCTCTGCGCCTGTTGGGGTCCAAGGCTTCTGGGCCTGTCCCCAATCCTTCCGCCCCGGGCTGGGCTGCAGGGCCTCCCTCTCCCTCTGCCAGCGCCCGGCTCTGCTTCTCGCTCCCCAGCCCTCCCTCCCGGCCGGCAGGCATGGGGGACGGGGGCAGGGGGTGGTGGCCCCAGCTTGCTGGCCAGCTCTGGCGTGGGTGAGACAGACCAAAAGTGAAGCTGTGACAAGAGGAAGGGAGCAGCCTGGGGAGCAGAGAGGGCAGTTCAGTGTTGGAGTGACCCCTCACTCATTCATTCGTTCATTCATTCTGTGACTCGGGACCAAACCCCCACGTGTGTGCCAGGCACTGTTCTGGGGGCTCGGCAGGAGCCAGGCCGGCAGAGAGCTGTCTCCATGGAGCACGTGTTCTGCTGGGGTGGGGGCAGGTGGGGACACAAGATAAATAAGGAAGCTTAAAAGTGTGCCACCTGGTGACAGCCACATTGCCGGACAATAAAGCAAGGAGAGGTGACGGGGTGTGTCAGGGTTTGCAGATTAAATAGGGTCATCAGGCCAGGCCTCGTGCGACGTTTAAGCAAAGACGGCGCAGCAGGGTCACCAAGTGCAAAGACGTAGGGTGGCGAGTGCCAGGGACAGCAAGGAGGCGGGAGTCCAGGCGAGAGGTGCTGGCAGCCTGACCAGGGTCGTGTGCGGCAGAGGTAGGACATGCGGCTGGTTTCTAGTCTGGTTTGGAAGTAGAGCAACAGGGACTTAACAGGGACCAGCTCTAGGTCTGTCACAACCTTGTCATTGGAGCCTCGGGGCCATGATGCCCATTGCACACACAGGGAAATAGAGGCTGGGGGAAGTGCGGTCACCCAGCAATCTTGCCTGTCACCTCAGCAGACCTGTCCAGCTGCTTCCACCTGCCTCCTGGGCTCTGCCACCAGGCGTGGCCTGTTTCTTGTAGCCCGCCGGGTCTCTCCGAAAGGGGGCTGCACCCAGAGGCTGGCCCAGCGCCCCCAGGAGTGAATCCTACCTCTTTGGCACCCTAATTCCGGGTTCAAGAAGTGGACGTTGCAGTGCTCACGCATGGCACCCAGGGCCCTAAGTGGCCACTCGCAAGAACAGCGTTAGCCCAGCGCCCGGCACTGGCCAGACCCTTTGGCACCCTGCGCCCTGGCGTCTGTGCCACCCCACTCTTGAGAGCCTTGCAGAGAGGTCTCCCTGGTCCTGCCGAGAAAGGTGGCGGGGCTGGGACTGCAACTTGGACCTGCGCGACTCTGTCCCTCTGTCCCAAGCCTGCGCTGTGGTGGGACTGGTGACTTGTGGGTGTGGGGGCGCGGGGAGGGAAGGAGGTCAGGTGAGGGGGGACAGGAAGCTGAGAGGGCCCCCCACGCTGGTGCCAGGCTAGCAGAGCGGGCTGGAGTGGAGTGGGGACTCTGAGGTGGAAAGTGATGTCTAGCGCCCGAGGGCCTCGTGTCCCAAGAAAGGCCCTTGGGATTTTCCTGGGGGGACCACAGATGGGGCCCAGCCAGCCTGGTGATCCAGGGCCAGGACAGCCAACTTCCCACAAGCCCCTGGTCTGGGGCCAGGCCGGTCCAGGGGTCGATCCTCCTATAGGCTCCAAAGGGACAGATGTGGCCCTGGCAGTGGAGGCTGCTGGGGGCCACAGAAACCTCCATTGCAGGGTTTGGCCTGAGTCACTTCCGGGGGTCTGGGGGGGGATGCTGGTGCTGGGAGGGCTGTGGAGGGCAGATGGGAGGAGGCCAGTGCCTGGCCAGCTTCACTGACTCAGTTTCCCCCCCCCCCAACCTCCAGGCATCCTGACAGAGGATGACGTCTACTGCAGCTGCCTAGCGAAGACGCTCTGCCACGTGCCTGTCCCTGTGACTGTGGGTTTCTACGCCCCCTTCGGCTGCCGCCTGCACATGATGCTGGACAAGATCACCGGTGAGGACGTGTGTGTGTGAGGGTCCCAGTTCCAGCCGTCCCCAGATCCCCTTGCCCCCGCCCCACCGGCCACCTGGCCACCTGCAAGTCTCACCTCCCTCCAGTCCCCACCACCAAATCCACTCCAAGGGCCTTTTCTGAAATACACATGTGGTCCTGTCCCTCCCCTGCTCAGAGCCTTCCATGCTCCCCAGCACCCAAGGGAGAGAGACCAGGGTCCTCACTGAGGCTGCAGGCTCCTGCCAAGCCCCACTGGCCTCTGTCCCCCGGGCCACCTCTTCCCTGCAGCCCCGGCCCTGTGCGGGGCCCTCACAGACACCTGACAGACAGATGCTCGCTGAAGACATGAGCTAACCCCGCCCGGTCGGCAGCGGCTTTGACCTCGCTCCCCCTGCTGGAACTCAGACCTCAGTCCCAAGTGTGGCCAGAGGGGCCGGGGGTGACCGTCCTCCGTGTGCCCAGCCCTGGTGCAGGCCCGACAGCCTTTCATTCCTGAGCACCTGCTAAACGAGTCCACGGCCTGCCCGTGTTGTCACAGAGGAACGAACAGGTTCCCGGGAAGAGATGAGGATAGAAGGAAAAAGGAGGCAGCATCTTGGGGAGGTCCTGCCCTGGGCTCGGTGACTTAGTCACCGCCTGCGCTCAGAGACAGACCCTGCCCCGACGTCTCATGATCCGTCCTTCACACATTCCCCAGTGCCCGGGGGACACGGCAGTGATCAAGACAACCAGGGTTCCTGGCCTACAAAGGACAGAAAAAAAGAAAAAAAAAGACAACCAGGGCCCTGCCCTCCTGGGGCTCCCAGTCCAGCAGGGGTGACAGACTTGTCCTCAGACAGTGATGACCCAGAGTGGGAAGAGCTGAGGGCCCTTGACCCAGCCTGGAGGACTCCCTGGAGGAGGAGCAGCAAGGCAGGGAAATCGCACTTCTCTTCCTCAACGTCTCTCATTCATTCCTTAGGACCCCCCCCCCAGCTTCCCAGCCTTCCCTACTCTGCTGGGGACCTCTGGATCTGCCTCCAGCCCCTTGCCCAATCCTCGCTTTCCCTGTGTCCATTCTGGCCCTCGCCCCAGCCTTGCCCTGAGACCCTTTTGAAGTCCCAGCTCTTTAGGGCCGGCGGGGCGCACTTTCTGAAGTCCAGGCCGCCAGACTGGTCTCCTGTCCTCTTCTTGGTGCTCTGGGTCTCTCCAGGGACTCCCAGCCCTTAGGGTCTCTCCAGGGGGGCACCCAGCCCTTAGGGTCTCTCCAGGGGGGGCACCCAGCCCTTAGGGTCTCTCCGGGTGGCGGGCACCCAGCCCTCAGGGTCTCTCCAGGAGGGCACCCACCCTGCCCTTAGGATCTCTCCAGGGTGGGCACCCAGCCCTTAGGGTCTCTCCGGGGGCACCCAGCCCTTAGGGTATCTCCAGGGGGGACACCTAGCCCTTAGGGTCTCTTCCGGGGCACCCAGCCCTGAGGGTTTCTCCTGGTGGCAGGCACCCAGCCCTTGGGTCTCTCCGGGGCCACCCAGCCCTTAGGGTCTCTAGGGACACCCAGCCCTTAGGGTCTCTCCAGGGGCACCCAGCCCTTAGGGTCTCTGCGGGGGCACCCAGCCCTTGGGTCTCTCGGGGGCACCCAGCCCTTAGGGTCTCTAGGGACACCCAGCCCTTAGGGTCTCTGCGGGGGCACCCAGCCCTTAGTGTCTCTCCAGGGGGGGCAACCAGCCCTTAGGGTCTCTCTGGGGACACCCAGCCCTTAGGGTCTCTCCGGGGGGGGGGGCACCCAGCCCTTAGGGTCTCTCGGGGGGGGGGACCCAGCCCTTAGGGTCTCTCCAGGGGGGGGGCACCCAGCCCTTAGGGTCTCTCCAGGGGGGGCACCCAGCCCTTAGGGTCTCTCCAGGGGGGGCACCCAGCCCTTAGGGTCTCTCCAGGGGGGGCACCCAGTCCTTAGGGTCTCTCCAGGGGGGACACCCAGCCCTTAGGGTCTCTCCAGGGGGGGCACCCAGCCCTTAAGGTCTCTCCGGGGGCACCCAGCCCTTAGGGTCTCTCCAGGGGGGGCACCCAGCCCTTAGGGTCTCTCTGGGGGGCACCCAGCCCTTAGGGTCTCTCCGGGGGGCACCCAGCCCTTAGGGTCTCTCTGGGGGCACCGAGCCCTTAGGTTCTCTCCAGGGGGGACACCCAGCCCTTAGGGTCTCTCCAGGGGGGGCACCCAGCCCTTAGGTTCTCTCCAGGGGGGGCACCCAGGCCTTGGGGTCTCTCCAGGGGGGGCACCCAGCGGTTAAGCCGCTCACGTCCCGCCCTGCCCTTCCCGCAGCGCTGATGCAGCAGGAGGCGGCGCAGCGCGAGCTGGAGGAGCTGCAGCACGTGCAGTGGCGGCCGCGGCCGGTGGGCGGCTGGAGCGTCCCGCGGCTGCTGTGGTACCTGGTGTTCCTGCAGCCGATCATCACCGAGGCGCACCTGCAGCGCAAGAACGTGCAGTTCCTCTTCGTCCGCTTCAGCGCCTGGCAGTACGAGGGCACCGACAAGCTGTGGGCCGGGCTGGTGACCACGCTGTGCGAGGGCATCCGCCACCACTACGGCGCGCTGCCCTTCAGCGTGTACTCCGTGGTGGGCAACAAGCCGGTCACCACGCCGGGCTGCTGCCAGGGCGAGTGGCACTGCCGGCGTCGCGTGTGCCTGGGGCTGCTGCTGCTGCTGGCGGCGCTGGCCCTGGGCGTGGGCCTGCTGTACCTGTCGCTGGGCGGCCGCGAACACGGCCACGGCGGCGCGAGCGGCAGCCTGCTCAAGGTGTTCGGTGGCGCGGCCACCACGCTGTCGGGCTCGGGGCTGCTCATGGCCGTGTACTCCGTGGGCAAGCACCTGTTCGTGAGCCAGCGCAAGAAGATCGAGCGGCTGGTGTCGCGCGAGAAGTTCGGCAGCCAGCTGGGCTTCATGTGCGAGGTGAAGAAGGAGGTGGAGCTGCTCACCGACTTCCTGTGCTTCCTGGAGATCTACCAGCGGCGCCGGCTGCGCGTGGTGCTCGAGGTCACCGGGCTGGACACGTGCTACCCCGAGCGCGTGGTGGGCGTGCTCAACGCCATCAACACGCTGCTGTCCGACAGCCACGCGCCCTTCATCTTCATCCTGGTCGTGGACCCCAGCATCCTGGCCGCGTGCCTCGAGAGCGCCGGCAACATGAAGGGGACGGCGGACAACGGCTACCACTTCCTGAACCGCACCGTCACGCTGCCCTTCTCCGTGCCCATCATGGGCCCCCGCACCAAGCTGCAGTTCCTGCACGACGCCGTGCAGAGCCGCGACGACCTGCTGTACCGCGAGATCACCGGCAAGCCGCGGCCGCTGGCGGGCGTGGGCGGCGAGGGCGCGCAGCTGCTGGCGGTGGAGACGCAGGCGGGGCCCGAGCACGCGCAGGGCCGCGTGGACGCGGAGGCGGCGCGCAGCATCCAGGAGGCGCTCTTTTGCCTGCACGACGAGCGCGACTGCCTCTACGAGTACGTGCCCGACAACGTGGTGTCCATGCGGCGCATCGTCAACACCGTGCCCATCACCGTGCGCCTTCTGCAGCAGCAGCAGGGGAACCTGGGGGGCCCCACGCCGCGCCAGGCCGTGGCTTGGGTGGTGCTCGCCAACCAGTGGCCCTGCCGCCTCAGCTGGGCGCTGCAGTGCCTGGAGGACCGGCAGCAGGCGGGGGGCGCGCCCGACGGCCGCGCGCGCCTCTGGGACGTGTTCCGGGACAACAGCCGGGAGCTGCACACCATGACCAAGGCGTTGCAGAACGTGCTCGACCTGGACGGCGACCCCGAGCTTTTCGAGCGCTTCCTGGGTGCCGACTTCCCCTTCACCGTGGCCGAGGCGCAGAGCCTGCTGCGCTGCACGGTCAACCTGGACCACTCCATCCGCCGCCGCATGGGCCTCATCCGAGCCGTCAGCGCGCTCAAGCCCCCCAGCCCGCCCAAGTCCCCTGCCCGCGACGCCCCCCACGCCGCCAACGGAGCCAACAACATCTCCAGGGCGTCCCCAACAGGCCATGCTGCAGGACACGCCAGCGAAGCCCACCAACCCCGGGACCGGGCCCATGGGAGCAAGCCAAGGCCGGTGGCCTGAGCGCCCTTCAACCCCGGGGAGCCCAAGCCAGGGGGCCGTGGATGCAGCACCCCGCAGCAGCCTCTCCACCTGCCCACGCTGGACGGAGGGGGCTGGACTGGGCCCAGGATCCTGGGTCAGGGTCCGAATGAGGCCTGCGGGGGCTGCCCCACCAGATGAACCTGTGAACTAGAGGACGCGAGGGCAGCAGCCTGCAGGGCAGGGCAGCGTGCCAGCGCCCGTGTGCCCAGGCACAAGACCAGCCAGGGACTCGGGCACAAGTGCAGTAAATGAAGGAGTTAAAGCCTCGGGTGGGTCTTCATGTCCTGGTCTCCCGGCTCAGTGGGATGGGGGACTAGGCCTGCCCTGTGCCACAGTCCACTTTCTCCCCAGGGGGCCAGCCCAGCTGCCCTGCTGCCTCAGCTGGCATCCAGGCAGGTGGGGCCCCGGGGGCGGTGGGCGAGGCCGCGGGGGCAGAGATGAAGGGCGGATGGCCTAGTTGACTCAGGCAACGGGCAGCACCCAGGCCTCAGGGGATCCAGGTCTTTGTCGCCATGCCTTGGCCTGCCCCTCTGTGAACAGGGCAGGAGGTGTCATTTCCGAGGGTGGTGTCCCTGGTGGCCTCAGCAAGCTGCTCGGTGTCCCAGGGTGGCTCTGCCCTCACCATGATGGGTTAATTAGGCCTCACTGACACCTTAGCCGGTTGGGTGAGTGGCACTGCCCCCCCAGACAAGTAACTGTCTAGAGGGTTCCTGCTTTGGGGGCCACTCCAGGACCACCCAAGGGCTACTGGTTAGTCACTGACACTGAAACCACCTGGTCATTCCCTTGAGGACAAGGAAGTTGAGCAGAGATGGGGACACTTGGGGGACACACAGCGTCTGAGCCAGGGTCAGGCAGGAGGGGTTTTACCAGGGCTGAGCTGGACTCTGCCTGGGTGGCTCACGCCTTCCCTGTCCAGCAGGGGGACAGGGACCTCGGATGGGGCTGTCGCTCCTCTGTGAAGTTCCTCATTGGTCCCATATTTAGGCACAAAGGCCTGTGGGGTGCCTGGGTCTGGTGTGGGGCTGGGGGTGGGGGAGGGCAGCAGGGACTGAACATACCCTGGGACCAGAGGTCAAGGGTGTGACTTTTTTTTTTTTTTTGGAGACAGAGTCTCACTCTTGCCTGGACTAGAGTGTCATGGCGTCAGCCTAGTTCACAGCAATGTCAAACTCCCGGGCTCAAGCAATCCTCCTGCCTCAGCCTCCCGAGTAGCTGGGACTACAGCCATGCGCCACCACGTCTGGCTAATTTTTCTATTTCCAGTAGAGACGGGGTCTCATTCTTGCTCAGGCTGGTCTCAAACTCCTCAGCTTAAGCAATCCTCCTGGCCCCAGCCAAGGGTGTGACTTTTGAGGGAGGGCCCTGAGGGCAAAAGGGACAGTCCCCAAGGCACCCACCCTTAGGCCATGGGGCTGTGGGGCCACTGGCCTCACATTCCTTAGCTTCTAGGCCAGGCACAGCATCCTTGGCCTGGCTGACCCCAGCACACGTCTCTCCTGGCCACAGTGATTGTGTCCCTGGCAGACACAGGTCAATGGGCACAGGTGCTGGTTTTCATGCCTGGCGTGGCTAAGCTGGGGGCACAGGCCTGGCCCTGCTAGGAGAGGTTGCCTAACAGCCGGGGAGAGCTGCCCAAGGATGGAGCCACCAGAGGGAGAGACATGTGGCTTCATGGCACTGGTCAGTGTCTGTAAATGTGCTGCTGGGGCCAATACATCTCCCTTCCTTTTCGCCTCCCTTAAGCCAGTTCCAGTGGGTTTGTTTCTTACGACCTGGAGTCCAGGCTGAGAATACACGTGCACTCCTGGCACCAGGAGTGGGCGCTGTAAGAGACAGACATCAATGTGCAGACTTGGCCGGAGGCAGGGGGGACTGAGGACCCCCGATGACCCAGTAAGAAGCTGCAGCCCATTACGTGGTACCCATGCAGCGGTCAAACTTGCCCATTTTATCTTAAGACTGACCACGGTCAGGCACGGTGACTCACGCCTGTAATCCCAGCACTTCAGGAAGTCGAGGCAAAGGATGGCTTGAGCCCAGTTCAAGGTTACCGTGAGCTACGACTCTGACCATGGGCCTCCACAGCTAGGGTCTGGGGAGAGCGTGTAAAGCAAAGCAGGGCGTCAGTGGCTCGCTGTGGCCGGGGCAGCTCTCTCTACGGCGGAGCTTTCGGGAACTTGCCCCTAGGGGAGGCCGAGGGACTAGCTCTCACGGAGAAAGGAGCATGAGAGGCGCACGCGCCTTTCCCGCATGGCAGTGAGTAAGAAGCGGGGTTGCCTTCTCTGCTCTCCTGCCCCGTCTGCCTGCTGGCCTTAGGGGCTCCTGAGCCCATGGGGGGTGACAGAACCGCAGGAAGGGGCCTGGGTCCACGAATCACTTGGTGAACAGCTGCCTGCCGCTAGGAACACCCACGTGTGACAGCAAACGTCGTCTCCTGTGTTAGTTAGGGCACTGAGAACTTTTAAGACTTGGTACAGGGTCAAGCCAAGTAATAAAGGAGACCCCTCGTGTCCTCGGCAAAGGCTACGACACGGCACGCGTGGGCGACGCCTGGGGGGCTGAAGGGACGCGAACACTTGCCGAAGGGCTCCTCTCTGCCTCCAGATCCAGAACCCCCGAAAGTCAGACAACCCGGAGCGCCGTGCTCCTCTCCTGGGCCCCTCCAACGCAGCGCGCCAGCGGGGCGGCTCGAACAAGCTCATTCTCTCATCGCTCGGGGCTTAAGTCCGAAATGAAGGGGGACCCTTCCTTGCCTCTTCCCAGCTTCTGGGGTGTCGCTGGCACTCTCGGGTGTTCCATGGCTTGCAGGTGCGTCACCCTGTCCTCTGTCTTCAGAGGTGTCCCCGTGTGTCCCGGCTCCCCTTTATGTAAAGACGCCAGTCATACCGGATTAGGGCCCATGCTGACGATCCCATTTTAACTTGATCACCTTTGTACGACCCTGTTTCCAAATAAGGCCACTTCCTAAGGTGCTGGGGGTTCGGACTTGAACATGCCTTTTTTTGTGTGTATGGGAGGCACAAAGCAACCCCTAACCGTTGGAAAGGTCCGATTCTTCCCCCCGCACAGGCTACATGAAGCGCAAGCAAGGGGAAGGGACAGGCTGAGGGGAGGACCCCGGCCCCTATAGGTGCCACAAGAGGGGTGGACAAACTGAGTCCCATGTCTCCACCCCCACCTGAGGTGGAGGTAGAGGGACACCTGACACAGGTGTCCCCGCTGAGACAATGCAGAACCTCATGGCCAATGGCTGAAACTGACCAAAGGCCCACGAAGATCTCTGGGGTCTGGGATGGCCCCAGGAGGGCAGGCCAAGGACCGCAGTCTCCGCACCTTGAGGGTGCTACGGCTGGTGCTGGCCACACCGTGTGGCTTCCCTGAGCCCCTCGCCCCAACGACAGTCCTAACTGTGGTTGTCCCAGGGAGCAATGAGGACACTTGTAGCTGCAAGTGACCACAGGGCAAACCAACTGGCGTGAATAAGCAAGGTGTTGATCACAGCGCCAAGGAATCTGGGGCCAGGATGACTCCCGGGTTTATGCAGCAGCTGAGTGACACTAGGGCTCCTGGCCAGCAGGTTCTCATGACCTTGTCACCTTCAACTACATCAGCCACCCACACAGGAAAGAAGCGGGTGGGTGGCCCGGGCCTGCCCCGCGCCGGCTGGTTCTCTCCTATCCGAAGTGGGGAAACTCAGATGCTCACCCGTGTCCCGCCGCACCCAGGCACACGCTGGGGAAGGGAGCGGCCGCAGACAGCTCCAAGGGCTCGAGAGGACGGGCTGGCGTCTGCTCTCCTTGAGCCACACGTGACTGGGCAGAGGAAAGACCTTGGACCCCGCGAGCCACATCCAGCACCCTGAGAACCCAGACCTGAAGCTGGGTTATTTGGAGGAGGGTAGGTGTCAGCATGGCTGCCCGGGAGCGGGTGGCGAGACCCCAGAGGGTGGACACACATGGGACCGGGGGCACCGAGGACCAGCACAAAGCAGAGAGCAGGCAGGTGGTGAACCCAGCCCCGGTTTATTAGAAAAGGTGTGAACAGAGTTGCACCGACAGGAGTAGCCCCTCCCCAGCCCTCTGCCCACCCCCGCGCACCCGCGCCGCCCGCCCACCCCAGGTGTAGTGCCTTTCAGGGCGCAGCCGCAAGCGGCCTGGGCAGCAGGGTCCCCAGAACCCTGGCTGCTGCCCGCCCCAGCTCCCTGATAGATTTATTGCACTTGAGAAAAAGAAAGCTCTGATCCTCTGCTCCCATCCCCCCGCCCCCGCCCCGGCCCGCACCCTGTCTGGGGCTGTCCTACCAACATCAACCACCACCATCACTCACCGCCCCTCCCATGCCGTTTCCTGTCTGGCCCTGTGCCCAGGACGACTGGGGGACCATCCCGCCACCACCCAGGACTCCTGCCCGCAACGGGGCAGGCCTGGCTGGCCAGGCCCCTCCAGAACAGGAGCCTGGTCCTGTGGCCTGATGTCCCTGGAGACCTCCTCTTCCTCCTGTCCACCCCAGCCCAGAGTCTTCCGGCGGAGGACACATAAATAGAAGTGCTTAAGTCAGGGTGGGGAGGGCCACTCCCTGCAGCTGCCGCACCCTTGTAGTGTTGCTGGGGGGCGAGGGGGTCCCCAGAGCGGCCCCACCCCCTGGCGTCCTGGGCCTCGGGAAGGCTGGGGGTGAGGGTGAGCAGACTCTCATGGCTCTGGCCTCAGCTCATCGAAGACCAATCGGGAAAAAGGAACTTGGGGAGAAGAGACGGGGGAGGGACTGTCAGAGCCAGGGAGCTCTCCCAGCCCCCGCCCCAGCTCCCTGGGCCCCCAGCCCCCACCTCACCTAAAGTGTCACAGTGTCTCCTGCCCAGATTCCTGACTGGCTTCCAGAAGCAGCTCCTCGAGCTCCTTCTCGTTCTTGGAGCAGCTCAGTTCTGTGTGGGGAGGACGGGCGAGCGGCCTCCAGTCAGGCGGGTGGGGTCAGAGGGCAGACACCAACCTGTCCCCGCCAGCCCCGCCCAGCCAGCCCCTCAGGCCAGCAGAGGGCCCAGGTACCAATGAGACCGTCAGACTCAAGGCAACAAACCTTACACGCCCCACCCCTGTGAGCTCCTAGGACCCAAGGGAAGCCGGGGGACCAAGGACCAAGCCCACTTGACCCTGTCCCCTCGAGGACCACTTTAAAGAGGGGGAAACTGAAGTCCACCAATGGCCAGGTGCTTGCCTGGGGTCACACACAGCACCCAAGGCCCCCTCGTCACCCTGCCCCAGAGCCCCTCACCGTGTTCCAGGCCGCAGCTGCCCCCCTTGGCCTCGGGGCCCGGGGGCGGCTCTGGGGGCAGTGCGAGGGCAAACTCGGGCTTCAGGCCGTTGGGCAGCGGTGG